TTATGTATTACAACTCCTATATATAGAAGAGAAGGTGGTAGTAGGTGTAGTGTAGTGGAGGTGGTAGGTGAAGTGGGTGCTAGTGGAGATGGTAGGTGGAGGAGTAAATTGGTAAATTCTAACAGTTTCTATTTGCTTTGTGAGGGTTTGGTTGTAAAGGAATGACGTATCTTTCTGGGTTCACTTCTCACAGTTAAACGTTTGGTTTATTTTTTATCTTTAGCTTTTTATTTTTCCTTTTTTTGGACAAACAGATCCATAATAAACAATTTTTGTTCGAGTTAAATTCAAGTTTTCCTTCTAGTCAAGTTCACAGCACAACAAAACAAGATGAGTGTTTCTTTGGGTGGAAAATCATCTACATGTTAAACTAAATCTACCACTCATGTGTATTGCTAATGCAAGTGCCCGTAATGTACAGGTGGTTATGGAGAAGATAGTGGAATTTGACTTGTTGAAGCATGCCAATAAACCTTCATTTTCTCTTAGTGGGGGCAACAAGCGCAAATTGTCTGTTGCAATTGCAATGATTGGAGATCCTCCAATAGTCATTCTTGATGAGCCATCCACAGGTGATTACTCTAATCTTCGTTCATGTATAAAATATTGGTTCCCTTTTTGGACTACAGTGAATCTGCACATGTAACACCAAGTAAAGAATGACTTGTTCAATTTTATGTTTCTAACTAACAATGTTCTGCATCATACTCTGCATAAAAGCTGTAACTTAATGTGTATATTTAGATTCATAGTCATAATATTGTCTCCCCTTGAAAGGAGGTGATCTTGCCACACCTTCCAGTGAAGCTTCCACTGACAGCTTCAGTCCCCTCTCTCTCTCTCTTTCTCACACACACACACACACACACACACACACACTATTGTTCCCCTGCAAGTGTTATTTTTGTGCCATAAAGGAGATTGACCAATAATTGACAAATGTATTCTTGGATTATTTGTTTGAATAAATGAATCCAAATATTGACAAATGTGCTTTTAAAGTGTATGTTTTAAATCTTTTAGTTAAAAAATAGTTACTCACCTCATACGTACTATTGCCTGAGACAATAAGTACTTCCATCTTCTTTTCACCGGAGTGCGCTATACCTGAGGACATGCATACTTAACTTCTAAGTTCTCAATTATGTCGTTCATTTAATTATTTTTAGGTATGGATCCTATTGCCAAACGATTTATGTGGGAAGTAATATCCCGGCTATCAACCAGACGAGGAAAGACTGCAGTTATTCTAACTACTCACAGCATGAATGAAGCTCAAGCACTATGCACCCGGATCGGAATAATGGTATCATTTGGTGGCATTTGCTTGATGCTGGAAGTCTGGAATATTTAAACATAAAACTTTAATTTGAAAATTGTTCTTCCTCTTTTGTATGTGAAGGTTGGAGGCCAGTTAAGATGCATTGGAAGTCCTCAACATCTGAAAACACGTTTTGGGAATCATCTTGAGCTTGAGGTATTTCACAACTATTATCAGCATTATATATGAGAACAACTAGGTCATGTTTTTTGTTCCCTGTTTTCAGGTTAAACCAACTGAAGTTAGCTCAATGGATCTGGAAAATTTGTGCCGGTTGATTCAAGAAAGGCTGTTTGACATTCCTTCTCATCCAAGGAGCTTACTCAGTGACCTTGAAGTTTGCATAGGGGGCACTGACTCCATAACATCAGAAAATGCATCAGTGGCAGAGATTAGCTTGACAGAGGATATGATAGTCATAATTGGGCAATGGCTTGGCAATGAAGAAAGGATAAAGATACTTTTATCTTCAACAGACCTTTCTGCTGGGGTTTTTGGTGAGCAATTATCGGAGCAGTTGGTCCGCGATGGTATGCCAATCCTTAGCTGCTTTTTGTTCTTGTTCTTCATTGCAAATTTACTCTCATGGAAATTATTTTTTTGAACCTGCTACATTTTTACTTTCACACAAACAAAGGACTGTTCTTTTAGTGCTTCCTTCTGTATGCCTATCCTAGATATTTAATTCACTGATGAGTTGGGTATCTTAGGATCAAGGCATCTAGTTCTTGGCATATGAATGGATTTCCGATGCATTTTTCAAACTGTTCAATGCTGCCGGACATGCAGGGTTATACTTAGATAAAATACAACTCAACATGCCTGTGTCCCAATTACTTACTATGTCCTCAATTGAGGCAACATGGAACCTTTTCTTCTAGTTGCGTCTACCAAAAGCCATTTCCTTAGTTAAGTCTATGGCAATCAAGTCCTTTCTTACCACTTCAATGCAATGCGACTCACGACCCTCAAAACATTTGATCATTTGGGCTGCAACAACAGCAGAGGCTGTTGGGGTTCAGGTCATGATGCCTCTTCCTATTTTGGTAATCAGTTGTGTCCCACTTATCAATTGGTTTGGGGATTGTAACTCCATCAACGGTAATTGTTGGTTCAGTCCACCCATTCATGACGGATTGCCAAACTTTTTCATCAATAGATTTTAAAAAAGATCTCATCCGAGCTTTCCAAAAAGAATAATTGGATCCGTCAAGTAGGGGTGGTCGAACCATAGAATTTCCTTCACGAATTGTATCCATTATCACAAATCAAACAAGATCTCGTTCTAAAAGAATTTTTTTTTAAAAAAAATAGAACGACCGGCTCTGATACCAATTGAAAAATCTAGAAATCCCCTAGATATTGATTTGTGATTATGTAACAATTTTAAGCAGTATATAACAATCCCAATCAAACAATCAAGATAAATCAACACAACGATTTTAACGTGGAAAAAACCACAATTGGACACCTCTAACTGTGATTAAAAAAACCATGGGCAACAGCCACAAAATAATCCACTAAGAAGATTTAAAAGAATTACACAGGTATACTCTCAATTACCTAGCGAATCCACGCTTAATTGAACCAACCTCTATGTGCCTCTTCCAACCCGTCTTCACCTCGGAAGTGTCTTTACAATGAGCCACTCCGGAATCCACCAAAGCTTCAGGCTTGAATTCTTCAGAATCCACCGAAGAACAACTCTCTCTTTTGTAGAACAAACAAAACCTTTGATGTATACTCTTTAAAACATGAGTTGAATACTCAATCAAAACATCAAAGAAAACTCACAAAGTATTCCCAGATATAAACCCTAGAAACCAAAAAGAAGATCTGGAGTAGTAATCCTAAAATCTGAACCAACATGCGAATTTATAAAATCTGTCCCGTGATCTCCGCTTGAGCGCCCAACAGCCCGCTTGCGCGGCTTCAGCAAAATATGCGCGTGATATAACAGAGGTCCGCTCGAGCGCTAGAGAACCTGCTCAAGTGCAAAATCACACAGTCCAGTACTTTTACAGGCGACCAAAACTTCCGGAACCAGGGATTCTCCGCTCGAGCGGGGTAATGTCCGCTCTAGCGGACAGGCAACTCGGAATGCATTTTTGCATTTTGCTTCGGGGGCGCTGCCCCTCGAACCCACCGTGGCGCTGCCTCGGACCCGCTAAGGGGCGCTGCCCTCTGGACCCCTGCGAGCTGACCGGGCAGCTCGATCCCCGTCATAATCAGCGAAGTGGCAATCTTAAAGCATTAACATCACAAACTTCTCTGAAAGGCACAATTCGGGTTGGATTCGCATCTAAACTCTCATAGCCTCACTGAAATAGAAAGTGCGAAAACAAATACAACTGAAAGGAGTTTTGTCAAACGGGATTGCCAAAAATAAAACCTAACACATGTATTTTAGCTTCTCAAATTCTATGTAAACTTGAGAACCATTTTAACTTAAACTCAATGTTTCTAACCCGATTTAGTCAACGAAGAACAGTTATGTTGTGTTATATAAATGTAGTTCCATGCTTCAAGAAGGTGGATCCAAATCTTTAGTTGTTTTGTAGATTTCTAAATTTGATATATATTTTTTAAGGTGTTAGGAAATATGTATTTCATCAATACAATTCTCTATCCATTTTAAATGAAAAATAAAAAATAAAAAAAAATTAGAGATTAATTTTTTCTTTAATATCGACTAGTAGAGCATGGCCATATGAGCATTTGGCACAAATTTACCCCAATTAAATCTGGAAAACTATAGAGATTGGGTTTCAAAACCATATATCGGTGGTCACAATGTAAGCTTTCACTAGTTTAGTGCTCCGAGTATGCAGCAACCAGGAAGACTTTCTATTCGTCCAACATTATCAACCTATGGTCCAACTTCGGTATATTACATAGTCAACACTCAACCTTCGACAACTTTTTATATTGTGTGTCATATTAAATTTTATCTCTTCTTATTTTATATGCACTTTAAATTTAAGCTAAAACATACTGCTTATGTAACATTTCTATAAACCATGTTCGAATGCTTTCATGCTTTAGAGATTTTTCTCTTTACCTTTTCTTTTCTTTCATATTCAGGTAATATTAAAGGAAGGGAAGTCATTGATCTTTCTTCTTATATTGGTTATTATTATTATTTAATTAATGAGTATAAACTTAGATATGTTGATGTCGTGTGAAACGTGAAGACTAAAATTTGAAGTAACAAGAATTTCATTCACTATACAGGGAAGACTAAGAATTTATTTTTTCATCATACTAGGCATCCAGGCAAACTGTAGTAGCTCAACCAGTTCATCCAAACCATAGAGGCAATCTAATCAACCAACATCAATTGGATGGTCGTACAGGAAATTTCTCTCAAACAAGGTTCTTCCTACCATATGTGCATGTTTCTTTTACATCATCATTATGAAAATTTATATTTGTTATATTTAAGTAATTGTTCATGTTATTTTCTCATTTTCACTTATTTTTCTTGTGATTTCACAAAAGGAAATTAGTTAAGATGAATAATTACTTAATGGTTGTTATAATTATAACATGAACACGTGATGATGGTTAATACATTTAATTTAGAATATTTGACATTCGTGTGCTTGTAACCTAATAGTAATTTTGAACTAGTAGATCATGAGATAATAAATAGTACTTCACATATAAACAACAATATGATCATCAAATAGGTACACCCTAAACAGCAACATGATCCAAATCGTAAAATCTAATGTTGCTAACAATTGATGTAAGATCTTATGAAACTAATGATTTGCTACTAATAATTTTATTTTTCAGTCAAGGGATTTTGTTCGCGTCATATATCGTTGGATTGCCTCCCTCATATGCTGCAGAAGGTGGCTTCATCCCAATTTGGAACACCAACAACCAGCTAGTATGAATTTTGTTAATATTTTGTTGAGTTAATACAAACAAAAGAAATATGTCCAGTTATATTTTTGTTCTCAAGTATGTTGATAAAAAATTTCCAATTAATAGTAATATTGTTTATTTTTTTGTGCTAGTATAAATCAAAATTTTCAATTTTATAATAATTTTTTTTGATGAAAAGTTATGTGTTTTTGCCCCTCCCCCCAAACCTCAAATTCTAGATCCGTCACTGATTATACTAACACACCTCAATGACTACGGAATATCGTTTTACCTCCTTAACTTCAAAATTGTACATTTAGATCACTTAATTATAAAAATCCCAATAAATATCCCTTTTTGAGAGCGTAAAAATAGTGCAATTTCATAGTTGAAGGTGTCTTAATGTACAATTTTGAAATTAAGGGAAGTAATATTGAGTAAGGTAGGTCATAACATGATTTACACTACACAACATAGGAATAATATTATAGCCTAGCTATAACCAATGTTGACTACAATTTATTGTTTTATCATATACCAGGTTGAAATCACACAGAATGTAGTAGATCAACCAGTTCATCAAGGTTATGGAGGCAATCTGATCAATCAACATCAATTGGATAGTCATACCGGAAATTTCACTCAAGCAAGGTTTTTTCTACCATATGCGCACGTTATTTTTACATCATCATTATGCAAAAAAATTGTTACATTTAAGTTATTATTCGTATGATTTTCTTATTTATTTATTTTTTAGTGTTTCACGAAAGGAATAAGTTAAGATGAACAATTACTTTATGGTCATTACAATTATAACATGAACACATGATGGTGCTTAGTACATTTAATTTGGAATATTTGACACTTTGAACATTCAAATACTTGTAACCATAAAGTAATTTAAACTAACAAATCATGAATATAATAACTAGGTGGTGGTGGTGGTGGTGGTGGTGCATCAGATACTAATTGACGTGAAGTTTGAAACAAGTTATACGAAGGATCGAGGATAGAGGACGGGGAGGTTAGATTCTAGTAGTCAAGTAAAGAGGTAGACAAGTGCATCATAACTCGTGGTTTGAAGGTCGGAAGGCAGCTTTGTTTACACTATTTGTGGATAACTTGCCTGAATCTATGGCACCTAGAAACTTGTATGATCTGTTCATTAACTTTGGAGTGGTTAAGGACGTGTTCATACAACAAAAGAGGAGGAAATCAATAGACACACGATTTGAGTTCGTGTGCTATGACTGTTCTATTGCAGCTAATGTAGCTAAACAAAAGGCTAATGGTTTGTGGGTCGATGACAAATCTTTGTCAGTTAAAATCGCAGAGTATGGTAAGTGATTAGAAGACAGACAGAGGCAGAAACCATTACCAACAAGACAAACCGAAGCCAGAAAGGCATTTGTTATGGTAACTAAACAGATTTGGCATCAACGCACTGATGGTCGGTCGTTTGCAGTGGTCATTAAGGGAGCTGAGCCCAGATGTCCACCAACGACAACTATCAGAGTAGATGAGCTAGGAAATGGGTGGTTGTATGAGAGTATGATTATAAGACTCAAAATAGATTACTCTGTTCAGTAGGTGAAAAATGAACTCATAAAAAAAAGAGTGCAGAATGTGTTGGTGAAAGAAAGAGGAGGGCGAGATGTTGTCATCTCATTTAGTTCAAATGAAGAATTGTTGAGTAAAATGTCTTTGCTCAAGGATTGGTTCCATGACTGGTGTGAATACATC